TAACTCCATTGTAAATGGAGAAAGATATATAGATACATAATGCCTTGGCTACCACTTTAAATGTTTCCTTTCCCTTCTGAAATGATCTCAGCCATCAGGGCAAGAAACTCCAGATGAATTCGAGATAAAGGTTTAAATCAACTAGAAGAAAACACTGTAGAATATATTTGTGTGTATGAGTGTGTGTGCTTTTTATTTTTGGTATATGTAATATTGGAGAATACTTTGCTTTGGGAGTTTGGGATTGACATGTACACACTGCTATATTTAAAATGGATAGCCAACAGGGACCTACTGTATAGCACAGGGAACTCTGCTCAATATTATGTAACAACCTAAATGGGAAAAGAATTTGAAAAAGAATAGATACATGTATACGTATAACTGAATTGCTTTGCTGGACACCTAAAAGTGAAAAAAGAAATAAAGAATACCTTGCTGAATACGATACAAAACCAAAAGCCCCTTGGTACTTCCCTGGCGGCCCAGTGGTTAAGACTCCACGCTTCCACTGCAGGGCGCAGCCAAAACAAAACAAAATAAAACAAAACAAAACCCAAAAGCCACAAAACAAAAGGCTGATAAATGTGAGTACTTCAGAATTTAAAATCTCTGTATGACAAAGACACCATAAACAAAGTTAACAGATGTGATCTGTAGGAGAAAATATTTGGAATTGATATCATAGACAAAGGATTAATATCCAGAATAAGATTGAGAATAATTTCTCTCTATTTCTTCCTTTTAGAAGTAACAACCTTCCAAGTGTTAGCTAGACACACAGCAGTACAGCCAGAGACTACATTTCCCAGCTCCCCTTGCAGCCAGGTATGGCCATGTGACTAAGTTCTGGCCAATTGGATCTGAGCAGGAAAGGCTAAGTGCAACTGGAAAGTTCCATTCTTGAAAGTGAACAGCCTTTCATTTCCTTCTTTCTCCTACTCAGGGGCTGGAAGGTAGTGACCTTGGCGTAAGGGCAACACCCTAGTGCTGTGGCTCCATACTGTGCCCAAAGTGCCGGGGTGGGGGGGGGGGCGTGCCGCAGAAACTGATGGGGATGCTATGGGATATCTTAAAAATTTGAGAAAACAAAGTAACATCTGTGTTGTACATGAAATGCTAGCTTGAGTTAGTTCACATTTTCAGCGGTTAGATGGAGAAATTCCTGACGTCTCATCTTTGTGAAGATGGATTTAGAAAGCAAGTGCTGCTGGAATGTGGAGCAGGAATGAGAATGGTGGTTTTCAACCTGTTTTTAAAGTTTGATAAACTGTGCAGTGTGCAAGGGGCACTAAGTTGTTTGGACACAAATACTTATGAAGTTGTTCAGAGATAATTATTTAATAGACGGGATTATTAGATATTTCTTTTGGCTGAGGTGCTCTGTGAAAAAAATTGTAAGTCCCTGAGGGGTGATGTAATCAGAGAAGGTTTGGAAATTTTTACCGAGCGGTGGAGCAACAAGATAGGAAGGATCTGGGTCTTTGTGTGATCGCATGGATCTCCTGGAGCGGAACTGCCTACCACGCCTGGACTGTCCACCTACCTCTGGACTATCGCATGCGAAAGAAATAAACTTCTTTCCTAATAAAACCATTGTGTTTTGGGGTCTCTCTGTTATAACAGCAGAGCAGACACTGTAGGTGCCCTGCCTGTATCCCCACAGCCCTCCGTGGAGATGGATGGCTTCCTGAGTGTCTGCCTGAGGTGTCCTCTGTACGTGGGGCTGGGCTGGCCTATGTGTGGGCAGGCCCGAAGGACTCGGGAGTTACTGTCCCAGGAGTAGCTGCTCCTCCATGGGACACTCCTGAGGCGTGTTCTGTGGAGCCTCTCAGATGATCCCCAGTGGGACTGAGCCCCACATGCCCCCCTCTACTCATCAACATCTGCTTTCCCGGCTTTCCTCTCCTTTCTCTCCCCCAATCCCTCACCATGTTTCTTGGGAACCTCTCCCCAAACAAACTACTTATACCAAATCCTTGTCTTGGGGTTTGCTCTTAGGGAGCCTGAACTAAGAGAAGCACCTTAGCCTGTTCCCTAACAAATACATAAAATATGTAAATAATTACCACAGTGCAACAAGAAAATGGTAAACAAATAAAAGTGGCAAAGGATAATTGTAAGCAGTTCACAACAGAGGATAGACAATTGGCCAATAAACACACAAGACGTTCAACATCACTAGAAACCAGCCAGCTGTAGTGAAGACAGCCCAGCACAGCAATTAAGCACACTGATTCTTTAGCCCAACGGCCTGAGTTTGAATCATGGCTCTAATACTTTTTAACTCTACGGCCTGAAGGAAAATTATTTAACTTTTCTATGCTTCCATTTCCTCATCTATAAAAGTGGTATTATATTAATAATAGTACTTATCTCATAGAGTTACTATAAAGATTAAATGATAAATATTTTAAAATTTTTAACAGAACGGTTCCTGGTACCCAGTAGGTGCTACCTAAGTGTGTGGTGAGCAAATAAATAAATAAAATGCCATTTAACCCATCAGAATATACATATTAAAGGAGCTGATCTGGGAATTCCCTGGCGGTCCAGAGTGCTGTGGCCTGGGGTTCAATCCCTGGTCAGGGAACTAAGATCCCACAAGTCTCAAGGCAGGGCCAAAAAAAAAAAAAAAAAAAAAGCAGAAGCCGATCTATCAAATGTTGGCAAGGGTTTGGAGAAACAGGCTCTCTCAGACATTTGTAGTGCAAGAGCAATTTAGTATTTATTAAAATTAAAAATGCCTATTTATTCTGTGGCCCAGAAATTCTACTTCCTGTAGCTGTCCTAGAGAAATACACCTACTTGCGTGTAATGAAGTTCATGAAGGTATTTTCACTTCAGCACAGTTTGTAATAGCAAAATGTGAAATTAACCTAAATGTTTAGTAATAGGACCGTTATATTAAAGGTCGCAAACTGGTGGCCCTTAGGCTAGATTTGTCCTGAAGGTATGTTGTGCTTAGCCTGAATAGTGTTTTAAAATCTTGAATTAGTTGCCAACATTAAAAAATTTGATTTATGTCATAAAAAGCCAGGTTTTCAAATACTCTTAAAACACTGGAATTCAAGTTAACAACCCTTTGGTCTGTGTAAATAAATAGCTACTTCTGCTTAGAACAAAACACACCTGCTCCACTTTGTCACTTTACTGATTTGTTACCTGCATATCCCCTGTAGGCACTAGAGTTTGGGACCCTGGCAGATGAGCTATGGCTCAGCTAAACAATGAATTGCACATAATGAGGTAAATATGATATAGCAAATATATACGTATTGGTGTGGAAGGATCACCAAGACATATTTTGGGGGAAGTAAAAAGAAAGCAAGATGTAGAGCCATTATGTATAAGATAATGCTATTTCCGTAAACAAAAAATTATAAATGTGTATGTACAATCTAGAATGTAAACTATGAAGTTCAGGGATTTTTCTGTTTTATTGCTATGTTCCCAGTGACTAAAATAGTGCCTGGCATATACTGTGTACTCAATACATATTTGTTTAATAAGTACATATGTATAAATGTATAAAAGAGTTGTGGAAGATACACACTAAATAAGTGATTAATCCTGCCGAGGGACTGAGATTTGGGAGGGGTGATGGTCAAGGGAGGTCTCTGGTTTTGTTTTGTATAGTTTGACTCTTGTACAAGGAGAACACAACATTGTATCACTTGCATAAATTTTAAGAAACGAAAGAAAAGCAGTCCAGCGCAAAATACCACAGGTAATCAAACGAAGATCAAAGTTAGGCTCAAATGAGACCATCCAGAGAAAAAAATGAATGGGGTTAAAACTAAAATTCGGCATTTATGAGTGAGGAAAGCTAATTAAAATACTTAACCACCGGCTCAGAATTAACCAGCAGGGTGAGGAGTCAGCTGGAGATACTGATGAAGTCCAGCCACTCTGCATACGTGATGAGGCTCCATCCATAACCACAGTCCTCCCTGGTGGTATCACATTTTCTGATTTTGGGGTTTTGTTTTTCAACTCTGTGTCCACAAGTTCGTGAAGGCCTTTCACACAATGTATCAGAAAGTGCCCAGCTTGGTAAGTTTTTTAAGAAGGAAAAAAAAAAAAATTAAGAAGCTGTAAGCTAGGTAGGTAGCAAAGACCGCAAAAGAAAAGCGCTTTAATGCCAGCGTTTGGAGATCACAGACATTTCCCCTCAAAAGAAGGATAGGCCTGGCTCAGTTACAGACAAGTTTTCAGAGGCATCGAGAATAGACTGGTCTCAGCTGATTCAGAGGCGTTCAGGGTAAAAGGGACACCCCACAGGGGACTTGTCAAAGCTATGTTTGGAAGCAGCTTTTCTCACTCCAGGTTCAACTATCATTAAACAGCCTTCCTTCTTATCCTCTAGGTTTGGAGTCGAATCAATCGTCATGTTCCCAGGGGCAGGATGTTCGGAGGTGTTCTGAGACAGCAGGAGTAAAGACACTGGGACGATTCAGACAGGTCCCAACGGTGTGATTGGCAGAAAGCAAAGCGAACTCTGTCCACCACTAAGACACAGGGTGTGAGCCCCTAGGTGTGCCTGCCCTGGGCCGCCCGGGGTCCCCGCTCCGCTGGGAGCCGAGCCATGGCTGGGCTCTACCCACGCCGGTGGGCGGCTTGGTCCGCTTCACAACAGCGGCGTCCTCGCCCGCACCAGGCCTGGGACAGTCTCTTTGTAAGATTTCTGGCAACGGCTCTATAAAGGTGGACCTCCCAGCCGTCAGACTTGACAACATTCTGGAGGAGTCAAGGCGGGAAGCGAAAGACTACTCCGAGAGTGCAGAACACGAGCCGCAGCCCCGCCCCACCGTCTGTCCGCACGCACCTCCGCCGGAAGTCGGCCTGGCCGATGGCGTCGCGTGATGACGTCACGGATCCACCGGAAGTCTGGGGACGCGCTCTAGAGGCGCGGACCAGGTGCGGCTGGCGTTAGACTGGTCTCGGCGGTAAGTCCGCCTCCACCGGGCTGTTAGATACCCGGGCTGGCACAGGGCCCTTCGTCTCCCTGTTTGACTCGCCCTTCCCCTTTGTGTATGGAGCTGCAGCCCCACCTCCACCCCTCCCGGCGCACAGATCTTCTGCACCTCCCATCCCCCCAACCCCGGTTTCGGCTCCCGGGGAAAGCGCCGGCCAGGCCCACCCGCTGGGATCTTCGGACGGAGAGTAGCATCGGGAATGCTTTTCTGTTGGGTCCCCAGCGTGGGCTCCTCAGGTATAGGGATAAACACCGAGATCCAAGGCTCCCGGGTTATTTCTTCCCAATGAGCTTTTTGTCTAGAAATCTTACAGCCCCGTACATCCTGCGGGGTCTCAACATCCCTTGACTTCCAAATTCTTTTACACAGTGTATTCCGCCCCTGACTCCTAGCCTGTCGTATTATGTGAGGGTTGAATTGATGTCTCCGCAGCCAGATCCAGCTTCCTAGAGGAGCCATGTCTCCTGCAGCTTTGGGTGCCACCTGTTGTGCCGGGCGCACGCCGCTGAACAAGAGGAGATGCCTTCTGGATTCTCCGTGAATGTTCGGAGGAGGAATGCCAGAGCTGCCGGCTGAAAACTATCCAAACAAAAGAAATATGTAGGCTGGGGACCCTGAATCACTTCGTGAGAATTGCTGCTCTTTGTTTCCTCTGTCTTATCTCGTGAGGATTTTCTAGTTTGGTTATCTTAATTGGAAGTTCTGCCCAGAACCGTATCTGCCAAGGCCAACAGTAACCATTTCCAGTTTCTTAATACAGGCCTGTGTGTTGACTCTGGTCCCCCTGGGTGATCCCTGATTGTTGTGGTCACTGTCCTGGAGGGATCTTCATAGGACAGCATGCCTGATCCTGGCTGGGGCCCCCTGACTGCCTCTGGTGGATGCTTGTTCCAAGAGCAATGTCAGCAGATTCTTTTGGTTACCTTCATATCAGTGTCATTGTGAATATTTATATTCAGGGGAGTAAAAGACTGATTTATCGTTGTGGGAGGGAAGGGGGATGCATTTTGCATATTCTTCCCCACTTATTTTGGGATTTGCAGGCAGGAGATGCCACAAGGCAGACCACAGTGGTTTGATTAGGAAACTTTTGAAGGGTGACCAGGTGGGAAGCCCCACTGAGAGACAATTTGTGCTTGAAGGATGAAGAAGCCTGCTTGGAGTCACTTAGGGAATTGGAGTCACTTAGGGAATTGATGTCTGAGAATATGTGTTGGACTATATCCCTCAGTAATAGTCACACTCCTTCTGTTCCTTTGTAGCCCCAGGATGGACTTTCTGGTTCTCTTCTTGTTCTACTTGGCTTTTATGCTGATTGGTGTTGTTACGATCTGCATCTGCTCGAAAACCCATTGCTTTAAAGGCCTGGTCAGAAGAGGAGCACAGGTAACAGTGATGGTTGGAGACCACGGGATTTTGGATACCACCAGTCTAAAAGGCTCACCAGTTTTCTGTCAGAACAAAAAAGAGATGTCATTTTTTATTCGTTCGTTCACTTGTCCTTTCATTTATGGCACTTGCAGTATATTCGAAAGTCTCTCTCTTTCTGTTTTTGTTACTGTTGAAAGTAATCTTTTTTTAAAAAATTTATTTAATTTATTTATTTTCCCTTTTTTTGGGCTGTGTCGGGTCTTAGTTGCAGCACACAGGATCTTTGTTGAGGTATGCGGGATCTCTTCGTTCCGGTGCTTGGGTTTCTCTCTCTAGTTGCGGCGCTCAGACTTCTCTCTAGTTGTGGTGCGCGGGTTTTCTCTCTCTAGTCGTGGCACGTGAGCTCCAGAGCATGTGGGCTCTGAAGTTTGCAGCACGCAGGCTCTCTCGTTGAGGCTCGTGTGCTCAGTAGTTGTGGCACGTGGGCATGTGGAATGTTAGTTCCCCGATCAGGTAATGAACCCGCATCCCTTGCATTGGAAGGTGGATTCTTTACCACTGGACCACGAGGGAAGTCCCAAAAGTAATCTTTTGATAATGCTTTAAGAGAAGATAGCATTCTTAAGGTTGGCTGTTTTTCTCTAGAGTTGATGCCTGTAGTTGGGCATGGATGTGAGCAGTGTCTGCCTGGAGGGGCCTGATGGGTGAAACTGGGGGTAGTGTGAGTAGAAAGCTGAACATCGGGCCGCCCACACTCCTCCAGGGATCAAAGTGAGCAGAATTGGGGTGAGCAGCCTTGGGAAGGGGTTGGCCTGGTGGGGGGACCTGGGCTAATGCTCCGTGATCTGGAGGTCGACTCTGGAACCTAGGATTGAACCCAAGGCAGGGAAAGGCTACATTAACAGATCACATCAGCATTACCTGATCCAGCCCCTCTGCTCACCTCTCTTTGCCTGAAGACCCCAACTTAGTGCCTTGTTTGGGGTCAGGATGGAAATGGAGGAGTTGACATCATAGGAAGGCCAGCTGAGGGAAGCCCTCCTCTTTATTCTCACTTAAATCTCTTCTCTGCTCACATGCAGAAACATGCCTTAATATCACCAATATTGCTGGCTGAAAGGGAAGCATCTAATTTGTTTAGGTGTGGGGAGAAAGAGAAATGAAACTGAACCTTTCTCTTTTCTTTTGTTTCAGATAATTTCGTATATAATTCCAGAATGCCTTCGGAGAGCCATGCTAAGATTGCTTCATTACCTCTTCCATACACGGTATTTATATTTCAGAGTTTAAGTATTATCTTCTTTTCTGTTTCGATTATTAACTGTTGCTGTCCTCTAGCTCTAGGAGGTTCCTTGTTTGTTTCCAGCGTGATACAGGGAGGGATGCTGCAGGGATCAAGAGTCCTGGGTTCAGAACCTCTACTGACAGATAATCTACCTTTTATCTCTGGGGTTTTGACATATCAAATTTTAAGTATCAATACTTAAAGAATGGGAAAGTATTGACGTGCATTTCTGTAAAAAGAAATATATACTGATACTGAGACCTCAGTTCCCCACAAAGATGATGATGATAATAGATAACATTTATTGAGTACTTACTATGTGGTAGGCACTAGGTGAAATGTTTCACATGATTTCTAATGTAATTCTTACTGTTGTCTCAAACCCAAAGGAAGTGGTTGTCCGTTGGTTCGCCTCCTATAGTGTGGTGTGATTTTTTCACAGAGAAGCCCCTGTGAACAAGTCTTGTACCTGTGTCCTTTCAGAAACCACACCTTTGTTATCCTGCATCTCATCTTGCAAGGAATGGTTTATACTGAATACACCTGGGAAATATTTGGCCTCTGTCAAGAGCTGGAGTTCTCCTCGAATTACCTTTTTCTGCCTTATCTGCTGCTGATTGTAAACCTGTTTTTTTTTGCCCTAAGTTGTGAAACAAACCCTGGTAAGTTGAGGCGCTTAGTATAGAAAATGGTGACAGATCAACTGTCTGTCTCACTGACAGTGCTACAAACAAGTAGTGATCCCTCCAAGGGCTTTGCAGAAAATTTGCTATGTAGGGTTTGCATGATCTTTCAGTTTTGAATGTTTTTTAGTTTTATTTTTTTCTTCTTTGTCCCACAGATTATTTAGAACTATTTAAACATCACTTAACTGTGTTATATACAGAGCTTGCCGTCTATATGAAACTGTTTCTTTTAAAGTTGTTACTGATATTTGCATTACGCCCAGGCATGTTGTCAGTTTCTGTAAATGATCCATGTGTTCTTGAAAAGAGTATTATACTTTCTAGTCCTTGGGCACAGGCAACGATATAAGTCCATTAGATCAAGATGTTAATTATGTTCAGATTTTTATATTCATACTAATATTTTTGTTTGATTACTGAGAGAGGTATGTGATCTCATTCTGTTGGTAGATTTGACAGATTTTTTCCTTCACCTATTTTGAAGCTATTATATGTGTGTGTATGTGTGTGTGTGTGTGTGTGTGTGTATAATAGATATATATACTCATTAGACGTATTCAAGTTTAGAATTAGTATCATCTCTTGAATCTTTTTTCAAAATACAGTGAGCCTCTTTGTTACTAGTAATACTCTTTGCTCTCAAGTCTCCTTTGTCTGATACTCATATTTATTATTACACTGTTTTTAGAAATATACTTGCTAGGTATTTTTTTTTCCCATCCACTTATTTTAATAAATTAAATTAATTTATTTATTTATTTTAAATTTTTGGCTGCGTTGGGTCTTCATTGCTGCGCGCGGGCTTTCTCTAGTTACGGTGAGCAGGGCCTACTCTTCGCTGTGGTGCACGGGCTTCTCATTGCGGTGGCTTCTCTTGTTGCAGAGCACAGGCTCTAGCTGTGCAGGCTCAGTAGTTGTGGTGCACGGGCTTAGTTACTCCGCAGCATGTGGGATCTTCCCCCACCAGGGCTCGAACCTGTGTCTCCTGCGTTGGCAGGTGGATTCTTAACCACTGCACCACCAGGGAAGTCCCCATTCCCTTATTTTAATCTTTTCTATCCTTGAAGGACCAAATGTCCATTAATTAACGAACAGATAAATAAAATGCGATATACCTGTTGGATGGAATGTTATTCAACCATAAGGAGGAATGAAGTACTTATACATCCTATAACATGGGTGGATCTTGGAAGCATTATGCTCAATGAAAGAAGCCGGATACAAAAGACCACATATTGTATGATTCCATTTATATGAAGTATCCAAAAAAGGCAAATCCATAGAGACAGAAAATAGATTAGTGGTTGCCATGGATTGTGGGATTAGAGAAATGGAGAATGACTGCTGAAAGGATTTCTTTTTGGGGTGATGAAAATGTTCTAAAGTTGATTGTAGTGGTGGTCGTACAACTCTGTGACTATAAAAACCACTGAATGGGGGCTTCCCTGTGGGCGCAGTGGTTAAGAACCCACCTGCCAATGCAGGGGACACGGGTTTGAGCCGTGGTCTGGGAAGACCCCACATGCCGCGGAGAAGCTAAGCCTGTGCGCCATAACTCCTGAGCCTGCATGCCACAACTGCTGAGCCTCTGTGCCACATCTGAGCCCACATGCCACAACTACTGAGCCCGCAGGCTGCAACTACTGAGCCCGTGTGCCACAACTACTGAGCCCGTGCGCCACAACTACTGAGCCTCAGCGCCACATCTACTGAGCCCACGCCCCACAACTACTGAGCCTGCGCGCCACAAATACTGAGCCCACATGCCGCAACTACTGAGCCCGCATGCCACAACTACTGAGCCCGTGCGCCACAATTACTGAAGCCCACGTACCTAGAGCCCGTGCTCTGCTACAGAGAAGCCACCACAATGAGAAGCCCGTGCACCTCAACGAAGAGTAGCCCCTGCTCACGACAACTGGAGAAAGCCCGTGCGCAGCAATGAAGACCCAATGCAGCCAAAAATAAATAATAAATAAGTTAATTAATTTTAAAAAAACAACATTGGATGGTACACTTTAAATGGGTGAATTGGGTTTATGAACTATATCTCAAAGCTGTTAATTTAAAAAATAAATTATTTGGAATATTAAATACAGCAGTTTTAGTTGTGCTTTGCCAGGACAGATTGTGTGAACATCTGGTCCACTGTATTGCTCGAAACTGACACTTGTCCTTCCTTTTTTCAGGTACCATAACAAAAGCAAATGAATTACTCTTTCTTCAAGTTTATGAATTTGATGAAGGGATGTTCCCAAAGAACGTAAGGTGTTCTACTTGTGATTTAAGGAAACCAGCGCGATCCAAGCACTGCAGTAAGTCTGGTTCTGGCCCCTCCAGCTCTGCCCTCGCACAGCAGACAAGTGGGCTTCATCTGTAAGGGAATGTTACATAAATCTAGAAGCAGGGCCATTTGACCTCCAGACATGAGGTGGCCTCTGTTGGTAGGGGATAGTTAGATAGTGGTTTCTTTGAGATGCCTAGAGATGAGGTCTTGTGTTCTCCTGTAGTGGGTAACCTTCAGCTCTGGGCAAAACAGCCCTTCCTTTGCCACATGGCAGTGCTTACTGCTCAAGAGATGTTTCTGTAGGCTGTTGTGTTTGCAGACTTCAGTCCTGGCAGAGCCTACTCTTCTGGGCAGTGGCCAAGATTCTAGGTTAGTGCTGTCCAACAAAAATATAATGTGAGCCACCGATGTGATTTAAAATTTTCTAGTAGCCATGTTGCAAAAGTAAAAATAAATGGGAAAAATTTATTTTAATTATATGTCATTTAAGATATCTAAAATACCATTTCAACATGTAATCAGTATAAAAGTATCATTAGTGGATTTTTTTATATTCTGTTTTCATACTAATTCCTTGCAATTCCGTGTTTTTTACATTTACAGTACATCTCAATCAATAGACACTAAATTTTTTTTTTTTTTTTTTGTGGTACGCGGTCCTCTCACTGTTGTGGTCTTTCCCGCTGCGGAGCACAGGCTCCAGACGCACAGACTCAGCGGCCATGGCTCACGGACCTAGCCGCTCCACGGCATGTGGAATCTTCCCGGTCCGGGGCACAAACCCGTGTCCCCTGCCTCAGCAGGCGGACTCTCAACCACTGCACCACCAGGGAAGCCCGACACTAAATTTTTATTGGAAATTCTTGATTTGTATTTAGATTTCATAAAACTTACAGTTGAAAGAGCTGATTCACATTCCGAAGCTATTCCAGACATTCTTAAAAGTTTTTTGATGACTGAATCAGTACCAAAACATCATTTTTCTTGGGACTTCCCTGGTGGCACAGTGGTTAAGAATCCGCCTGCCAGTGCAGGGGATACGGGTTTGAGCCCTGGTCCAGAAAGATCCCACACACCGCAGAGCAGCTAAGCCCGTGTGCCACAACTACTGAAGCCCACACACCTAGAGCCCATGCTCTGCAACAAGAGAAGCCATAGCAATGAGAAGCCCGCGCACCGCAACGAAGAGTAGCCCCCACTCACCGCTGCTAGAGAAAGCCCGTGCACAGCAACGAAGACCCAACGCAGCCAAAATAAATAAACAAATAAATAAACCAGCATTTTTCTTTAATATCCATATCTACATTGACATAATGGTTCGTCTTTATCAGAAGAATTGATTTGACTTTAAAGCAAAAGCATCAGTTTTAAAATTATGTCTGTCCAGGTTAATAAGTTCAGCATTATTCACATTGATCTCAAAGGAGCAATGCATAATTGAAAAACAACTGCGAATTTATCAATATCAACAAAGTATTCTTTCAAGTTTCTCTTGTAGCCACATTTCAAGTGCTCATTACTCACATGTGGCTACTGTATTGGCTACCGTATTGTCCCCTTCGGTTCTGAAAGCTTGGTGACAGCAGCTGCCACTGACACTACCAGCTCATCCTGCTAGTGTCAGTGTGTGAAGCTCAGTAGGAGTGCACGGTGTCATTATCAAGGATCAACGCAGGGTTGTGGCTCCCCCATTTCTGTGCAGGTGTGTGCAACCGGTGTGTGCACCGCTTTGACCATCACTGTGTGTGGGTGAACAACTGTATCGGGGCCTGGAACATCAGGTACTTCCTCTTCTACCTCTTGACGTTGACGGCCTCGGCTGCCACCATGGCTGTGGTGAGCACTGTGTTTCTAGTCCAGCTGGTGATGGTGTCGGACTTGTACCTGGAGACTTACATCAATGACTTTGGACACTTGCAGGTGGTTGACACTGTCTTTGTTGTTCAGGTAATTAATATTCAGGTAATTATGTTGTGGGCTGTATGTTTCTGACTTAAGGTTTAAAAATTGGAAAAAGGGCATCTGTTTTCTGAGTCAAAACGTGAAGGCATTCCTTTTTTAAAAAATTGATATATAATTTTTAAAAATCAATATATAATTCACACACCATAAAATTCACCCTTTTAAAGTATACAGTTCAGTGGTTTTAATATATTCACAGAACCACATAACTATCACCACAATCTAATTTCAGAACATCTCATCATCTGTAAAACAAACTCTTATCTATTAGCAGTCACTCCCCATTCCCTTTTTCCCCAGACCCAGGCAGCCACCAGTTTACTTTCTGTCTTTATGGTTTTGCCTTTTCTGGTCATTTCACATAAGTGGAATCATACAATATGTAGCCTTTTGAGCTGGTTTCTTTCACTTAGCATAATATGTTCAAAGCTCATTCATTTTGTAGCATGAATCAGTGCTTCATTCCTTTTTATGGCTAAATAACATTCTGTTGTAATCATTTGAGGAACCACCACACTGATTTCCAAAACATTTGCATCATTTACATTCCCACCAGCAATCTATGAAGGTTCCAATTTCTCCACATTCTTAACAATACTTGTTATTATCTTTTTTTTATTATAGCCATATAGTGGGTATGAAGTGATACCTTACTGTGGTTTGATTTGCATTTACCCTAATGACTAATGATATTGAGCATCTTTTCATGTGCTTATTGGCCATTAGTATATCTTCTCTGGAGAAGAAAGTTTAAGGGAGAAGCAGCTCATTTTTATTTGGGTTGTCTTTTATTCTTGTGTTGCAAGAGTTCTTTTTTGTATTCTGGACACTTGACTCTTATCAGATACAGGATGTGCAAATATTTTCTCCCATTCTGTTGGTTGTCTTTTCACTTTTTTGATAGTTTTCTTTGAAGCACAGAAGTTTTAAATTTTGATGCTCAATTTATTTTTTCTTTTGTTGCTTTTGCTGTAGTGTCATAGCTAAGAAATCATTGCTTAATCCAAGATCATGAAGATTTACACTTAAATATTCTTTAAAGTATTTTATAATTTTAGCTCTTACATTTAGGTCTTTAATCATTTTGAGTTAATTATTATTATTATTTTTTTTGCGGTACGCGGGCCTCTCACTGCTGTGGCCTCTCCCGTTGCGGAGCACAGGCTCCGGACGCGCAGGGTGAGTGGCCATGGCTCACGGGCCCAGCCGCTCCGCGGTATGTGGGATCTTCCCGGACCGGGGCACGAACCCGTGTCCCTTGCATCGGCAGGCGGACTCTCAACCACTGTGCCACCAGGGAAGCCCCAACTTTATTCTTTAGTTTGTGGATATCCAGTTGTTCCAGCATCATTTATTTATTTATTTATTTATATTTTTGGCTGCGTTGGGCCTTCGTTGCTGCACGTGGGCTTTCTCTATTTGCAGCAAGCGAGGGCTACTCTTTGTTGTGGTGCACAGGCTTCTCATTGCACTGGCTTCTCATTGCAGAGCATGGGCTCTAGGTGCACGAGCTTAGTTGCTCCATGGCATGTGGGATCTTCCCAGACCAGGGCTCGAACCCGTGTCCCCTGCATTGGCAGGCGGACTCTTAACCACTGTGCCACCAGGGTAGTCCCCCAGCATCATTTATTGAAAAGACTATTCTTTGCCCATTAATTTACCATAATGTGAAAGTCAAAGCCATTCTTTAAAAACTCACTTGATTGCTAAAAGATTTCTATTTCATTTATGGGAAATGGCTTACGAGCAGTCTTTTTTTAGGTAACTGCCTAATTCTCCTTGAGTGTTTTTTTCCTTTTGTTTCAAAGAAAATAAAATGAGCAAGTGGGACGTATTAAATGAATGCAAGGTTGGTTCAATATTGGGAAATTGATTAGTATCTTATACAGCATTATTAAGTATTAGGAACAATGATATTATTTCTCTAGATGCTGAAAAGCCTGTCAAAAAATTCAATACCCATTATAATAAAAGCACTTAGAAAATAGGAATTGAAGGATATTGTCTTAATATGATAAAATACACACATAGTCCTAAAGCCTGCATCTTTCTTTTTAACTCTTATTTTAAAATAATGATAGATTTACAGGAGGTTACAGGAATCCTGTGCACCCCTAAGCTCCTCTCCCCATGCCAGAATCCCTATGCAACCACAGCACAAAAGCAAGAAATTGACATTGGCACAGTCCACAGTGTCAGTTATATATGTGTTCGTTTGTGTTGTGTGTGTAGCTCTGTGCAGTTTGTCACATGTGTAGCTTTGCATAATTGCCACCACAACTAAGGTGCTCTTCTGTCCATCACCACAGACTCCCTGTGTTATCCCTGATACCCACATCCTCCTCCCCACCTCCCTAATGCCCGGCCACCACTCATCTGTTTTCTATCTTTGTTATTATGTTATTTATTGTTACATACATTAACAATTATTAACAATTAACAATTGTTAATAACAATTAATTATTAACAATTAACAAAATGCTACAGTAGCATTTTGTGATTGGTTTTTTTCACTCAGCACAGTTTCCTTGAGATTCATCCTAGTGGTTGCATGTACCAGTAGTTCATTCCTTCTTACTGCCGTCTAGTTTTCCGTGGTGAGAATGGATCACAGTTTGTTTAATGAGTTAGCCTTTGAATGACATTTGGGTAATTTCCAGTGTTTGGCTATCACTAACAAGGCTGCTATGAACATTGGTTTAGAAGCTGCTGTGTGAAAAGAAGTCTTCAGTGTGATTGTTGGGTTGTATGGTAAGTCCATTTTAAGTTTTGAAAAGGAGAACCACACTGTTTTGCAGAGTGCTTGTACCTTTCTACATTCTCCTCCCCAGGGACGGGGGAGTAAGTGGTTTCTCTGCATCTTTGCCAGGTTTATCATTATCACTGATTTTCACTTCAGCTGTTCTCATAGGTATGTCATGATACCTCCTTGTTGTTTTAACCTTGAGTAGTTTTTATTCTCAAGTTTTTTCCCAATTATGTATATTTGTAATCATACTGAAAAGTTAAAAGAATAACAGAGTGACTACCCATATACCTTCCACCTAGATTTTAAAATTGTTAACATTTTAATCTGTTTTCTTTCTATACGTGTGTATATATTTCTCTGTATTATTAGAAATAAGTTGGAGATGAAGTTGCTTCACCCCTAAATACCTGAGCATACATTTTTTCAGAATGTCAACATTCTCATACGTATCTACAATTCTATTATCCCATGTAAGAAAAGTAATAATAAATCTATATACTCTCTAGTCCATATTCAGATTTCCCCGTTGTTTCAAATATGTCTTTTATAGCTCTTCTACCTCCTTGAACCAGATTCCATTTTATAGTTATGCATTACATTTGAATATTATGTCCTTTTATTCTAAAATAATGCCCCTGCTTTTTTTTCATTAAATTGACGTTTAGTAGTCTAGTTATCTTTTAAAATGTCCCATGTTCTAGATTTTTCTTTTCCTAATTGTCATCTAATTTTTCTCTTTCTTTATATTAGTGTAAACTGGAAGTTAGTTCTAGAGCCTTGATTAGATTCAAGTTAAATGTTTTTGGCAAAAATGCTTCCTAGGTAGGGATGTGTATTTCATAGTGCATCCCATCAGGTGACATAGGAGCAGTGAAGCCCAGGTTGATTCATTGGTTTACGGAGGTGACCACCAGTTCCCTCCACTCGTGAAGTGCATTTTCCCCTTTGCAATGGGTAATCTTGTGTATATGGTTTTGTTTTTGTATTTAAGACTTTCTTTAGGATAGATTTCCAACAACATAAATACTGGGTCAAAGACTGACAACATTTATAAGTCTTCCGATATTTATCTATGTTGTCAAATTGCTTTTTAAAACCTGTGGTTAGAGCAGTGTGTAAGTGTTCCTTTCACTGCATAAGAGCAGGCATTGATGATGCCTGGGATGGGAAGTGCTTCTAGTTTGACAGAATATGGTTTACCCTTTTTTACAAATTACATTTCTTTCATTACTTTTGATTACTTTCCTTGTCTGTCAGTCATTGGTATATCTTTTTTTGTGAATTCTGCCCTTTAATTGTTTACCTATTTGATATTAGAATAACTTTTGGTTTGAGGTCTTTGGATAATAATGGTAGTTCATTGTTGTTATATTTGTTTTCTGTTTGTGTGTCTCATTTTTTGTTGTTTAAAAAGCTTTAGACATTCTTCCTCATCGAATCTGTCTCTTTTCTTTGTAACTTCAGTTAGCAAGTCTCGCCCATCGGGAGTTTTGATGGAGTTTTGATAAGTATCTACTTCTTTTCTGCTCACTTTCAAAAATATTGAACTCTTTCAGAATTATTTGTCTATCATAAAAACGAACTTATACAAATTCAAGTAGTCCAGAACTTTTAGGGGTCGGGGGAGGTGGGAGAAATAAGTGAAGGTAGTTCTTCCAGTTGAAAGATGAATAAGTCCTGGGAATGTAACGTACAGCATGGTGACTGTAATTAACAATACTGTATTGTACATTTGAAAGTTGCCAGGAGAGTAGCTCATAAAGGTTCTCAACACACACACACAAATTGTAACTGTGAGGTGACAGATGTGTTAACTAACGTTATTGTAATCATTTCATTATATAATATATATAATCATTATGTTGTATATTACATGCACCTTAAACTTTCATAATGTTACATGCCAATTATATCTCTACAAAGCCGGGGGTGGGGGGAGAAGAAAATTTAAAACATCTTGGACAAAAATAAAATATAAACTGGGAATTATTCCCCTCCCCTCCCAACAGTTTCATTCTCCAGAGACAACCACTTTTATAGTTTGGTGTACATTTCAGGCTTTTTCTCTATGTTTATTTATATGGCCATACACTTTCATGGAGTTAGTTTTGTTTTTACACAAATAGGATTCCATTGTGATTTTTGCATTTTGTCTTTCTTGTTGGGCAATATATTACCAACATCTTTTCCAAATTAGTACATAGACACTGACCTAATTTAAAGGCTCCTTGTTGTTCCATAGGATGACTATCCCAGAGTTTTACTCTTCCTCCTGGATGGACATTTAACTTGTTTCTTTTGGGAAGAGGGGCTATTAAAATCAGTGCTACAGTGAATACCCTTGTACATGTATTTCTGTGGTCGTATTGTTTTCAGAGAGAGATTGATCTCTTCTGTCCGTCTGGACTTTATGTTGATGCATGAACTAAGATCTACATTCATTTCTCTGTTTATTTTCTGAATAGCTAACTGGCATCATCTCCTGAGTGTCCTTCCCCTTTTCCTTCAATGCACACACTTAATTTATCCCATATGAAATTCTTCCTGGGAGGTTTGTCAGTGCTGTTTTTGGTTCTGATTTTGTGTTCAGTGGGTCAGATGTGTATGGAGGTGGGGGAGCTGGGAAGGCAATTCTGAAGTGTATATGGACGTGACCATGGCCGGTGGTTCCTGACCCCAACTCGTGTCACAGCCTAGCTGCCTAACGTGCTGCTTCTTCTTTGCCCCCAGTACCTGTTCCTGACCTTCCCGAGGATTGTCTTCCTGTTGGGCTTTGTTGTGGTGCTGAGCTTCCTCCTGGGGAGCTACCTGTGCTTCTGTCTGTACCTGGCCGCTACCAACCAGACCACTAATGAGTGGTACAGAGGTGCCCGAGCCTGGTGCCAGCATTGCCCCCACGTGGCCTGGCCCCCGTCAGCAGAGCCCCAGGTTTACCGGAACATTCACTCCCGTGGGCTTTGGAGCAACCTTCGCGAGATCTTTCTACCTGCTGTTGCACATTATGAGAGAAAGAAGAAATAAGAATGGGAAGAGTGTTACTGCCTTTTAAATATAGTATATGTTTATTTATACATATGGATACTTTCTTCTTTTTTAAAAAATTTTTATTTATTTATTTGGTTGCGTTGGGTCTTCGTTACTGCACGTGGGCTTTGTCTAGTTGTGTCGAGCGGTGGCTTCTCTTATTGCGGAGCACGGGCTCTAGGTGCGCGGGCTTCAGTAGTTGCGGTCATGGGCTCTAGAGCGCAGGCTCAGTACTTGTGGCGCACGGGCTTAGTTGCTCCGTGGCATGTGGGATCTTCCCGGACCAGGGCTCAAACCCGTGTCCCCTGCACTGGCAGGCGGATTCTTAACCACTGCGCCACCAGGGAAGTCCTGGATACTTACTTTCTAAGCATTGGTTTATTTCTTTTTTCCCAGTTTCCACTGTGTTTATGAATTGGCTCTCAGTAGCTAAGGAAGGGAAGGGAAAACTAGTGTTTACTGAGTGCCTAAGCTTTGCCAGGTGCCATGCTAATAAACCCTGGGGCAGAAATACCCCTTGCTCATCCTCTGTTCATTCAGCCGGCTGGAGTGGAGCATCTCTAAAGTCTTGGTGCCAAGGGGCTCAAAGGTGAATTCCCAGAGGTTCCAGTTGACCTTGGTCTCCCACTGGGCTCCTGGACAGGAGGGGCCTTATGGCTGTGTCCCCTGATATGCAGGAGGGTCTCTGTGACTTGAAGTTGTCTCAGCTGCACCCTCTTTAATGTCCTTTCCATCTTTCCCTGGGAAACGCCTTGGCTTTTTTCATCTCCTTGACCACACCCAGCATCCTCTCCTAGGCCCACCCTCAGGCCAGAATGGACCTTTTACAGAAGGCTCATTCCTGTGGCCTCTGGCCTGCCCTCCACTGGCCTCTTGTGGCCACATTCAAGTCATTTCTGCTGTTTTTAAAATCCCAGGCTAGCCCCGCTGTTCATTCATTGCAGAGAGATGAATGCAGGAAAAGAGATTCACAGAAAGTGCTGAGGGTTTTGAGGTCGTAGTGGTCAGGCGCAGGAGACATGATTCCTATGGCCCTCCCAGGCTAGGCGGGGCCCATCTGGAGGGGGCTGGGGAATAGGGACTCGCAGGCAGGCAGGCATCATTTGTCGTCGCAGCCCCGAGTTCAGACTAGATATAGCGTTAAAGATGAACGGCTGGGGCCTGAGCTACGGCCCTGCACCACCACCCTATCCTTGGAAAGCTCCATGAAATCACATGTGTAGGCTTTGAACGCCGCGCAGAGAAAGCAAGGGGAGCTCCGGGCGGGCCTTGCGGGGCTGGGGGGCGCGCACAAGACCTAGATTGCGTTCTCTGGTGGATGTGGCCCCCAGCTCGGCAGCTCGGGACCCGCTCGGCGGTCGCGGGGCCCAGGGGCGGGGTTCAGGGGCGGGGCCCTTCCGCGCCCGCGGGCCGAGCCGCCAGGAGGCGCCCTCAGGGGGCGGGCCCTCGCCACCGCCTGCGCTTGGGCCTTGCGGGCCGCCGTTGCCGCGGTCGGCGTCTGCCGCCTTTCGACTCCGCGGCATCGGGTTCCCAGGGCTCTTGGTGGCGCCGGAGTCGCACACCCGGGGCGCCCGCTGGCCGCCGGCGGCGGCGGTGGCCCCCTGAGCGGGCCCGAACGGGGAGCGGGGAGCGGCCGGGCGCCGCGGCCCAGGCCCAGGGTCGGCGGGCGGAGGCCGACTCGCGGCCTCTTTGTCTCGGCAGCGGCGGGCGCGTCCGCGGGGCCCGGGGCGGAAGTCCCGCCGCGCTCCCGGCGCCCGGGCCGCAGAGGTGGCACCATGAGCGACATCCGCCACTCGCTCCTGCGCCGCGACGCGCTCAGCGCCGCCAAGGAGGTGCTGTACCACCTGGACATCTACTTCAGCAGCCAGCTGCAGAGCGCGCCGCTGCCCATCGTGGACAAGGGCCCTGTGGAGCTGCTCGAGGAGTTCGTGTTCCAGGTGCCCAAGGAGCGCGGCGCGCAGCCCAAGGTGCGCCGGGTCTGGCTGCCGCGTCCCCGATAAGTAAACTCCGGCTCCTTTTTCCTTCTCGGTGACAAGCGTCGGCCAGACCACAAACGCTCTTCGGATCGGGGGCTCCGTCCTCACCCTTGGCCTTGCTCCTTCAGCAGCGGCCAAAATGCCCGTTTTGCGGGGCTTGTGACAACCATGTCTCAATGGTGTTAAAGGAAGAGACTTTAAAGGCCTGTTACCGAGAATCTCAAACCGCTGTAGGTCATCCTGAGCCCCCTAGGGTGATGCATAATGACGTAGAATGGTATTTCTCGAGGTTAACAGTAGAGAGTTCTCCGTGGGACCCGGGCTTTAGGGAGGTGAAAAGTTCCCTGGTGAAACCAGTGTTTTCTGTTTTCTCACTGTGTGAAATTAATAGGCCGAATTTCTCATCGCTTCTCCTGGATTTGTTTTACAGAGATTGAATTCACTTCAGGAGCTCCAACTTCTTGAAATCATGTGCAGTTATTTCCAGGAGCAAACCAAGGACTCTGTCCGGCAGATTATTTTCTCATCCCTTTTCAGCCCCCAAGGGAACAAAGCCGATGACAGCCGAATGAGCTTGTTGGGAAAGCTGGTCTCCATGGCAGTGGCTGTGTGTCGAATCCCAGTGTTGGAATGTGCAGCCTCCTGGCTCCAGGTACGTCTCTAGAGATAGCATCTCTGAGAGTCTCTGAAGAGGTGTTTCGTGTCAGGAAGTTTAATTTAATTGGATTTCTAGAGAGGTCTTTTCCATATGTTATCTCCCTGATGTTCCTGCCCTGTATGCTGATACCCCACACCTGTATATACAGGTGATTACCATTCTTGAGAAAACAGTAGTTTGTAACGGTAAATGAAGGCTCCATCTTCAGAATAAGTGAAAATTAATTTTTCTTAGTTGAAAACAATAAGGTAGGATTTTGAAAACAGCTATGCATGCAGTCTCAAAGATTGGATTCTTTTTTTTTTAAGGTCACTATGTGTCAAACTGTGGCAATGTTTGCTTGTTTTTTATACAGTTAGATCAGTAAACATGGGAGTTGTTCCGGGGTGCCATTTCAAAGCTGATGGCTCTTCTAATGGATATGGACATAGGAGCCTTCTATAGTGTTTTTAAATATCTAAAAAAAAAAAAAAAGTATTTTCATAGTAGACTTCGTGTTAGATAGTTTTTTGGAAGATCTATTCTGTTTTGCTTTTTCGTTACTCAGAGTTGTTGAAAAATTCATAATCCACTTAGAGTAATTATTAACTCAAATTTTTGATTAACATCCTCAGCTAAGCTAGCAAAATTTACTACATTCAGTTTTTCAAACCTGCTTCATTCCCAAGGACTTGACATCATTTGGGTTTTTTCAATTTATTTAAAAGTTTTTCCTGTGATCTTATTTATCTTTAAAATTTGGCTAGTAAAAATATATTGTGTTCTTTGTAATACACAGGTAAATCTCAAGGGAATCTGTACCTTAATGGCCACCATTCTGATTTCTGGGACACCTGAATAAATCTTGTGTGTTGTATTTAATGTCAAGATTACCTCTATCCCTTGACAACCTGATGAAGTCAAGTTTAGCATCTTGAAATTCATCATATAATTTTCCATTTATCTCTCATGGTGCTGTTGCGCTGGCATTTTGGCAAAGTGAAAGCAGATGTTAACAACAGGAAAGGGTCTTGTGGCTTGGGTCAGGGTTTGCCACACTGGGGTGTAGGGCTGCAGCTTCCTCCAGAGAAAAGGGTGGAGATGGCTGGTTTGGTACGTGAATGAACAATCTGGCCTGATGCCTCCTTGCAGTTTGCCCTGCAGGCTGTGTTATAGCCCTGAAACTGTAGCATCCTGAACAATGGTTAAATGTGGCTACAGATAGGCATCTGAGTGGGAAGGAAAAAGACGGGAGGGTGGTGATGTAGGGTTCAAACATATTAACGGAATCCGTAATAGGAAAGGACTGTAGGAAAATTTGAGAAAGTACTGCTCTAAATCATGTGATAGTTCACAGGCTCTCCTAAGTCACATCAAAGTGGTACCAACTGGTAATTTTTACCTTTGGAGTCTCACCTGTAGGGTTACAAAAATTGTCGTTTTCTCACTTGAAGTCAGGAATGATTTTTTCTGAAGTGACTTCAAAGGTCGGCAGGCCTTTCATGTAAAGGGCAAGATAGTAAACATTTTAGGCTTTTCGGGTCATATAATCTCTCTCTTTTTTAAAAAAATATTAGTTTATTTGGCTGCTCCGGGCCTTAGTTGCTGCATGCGGGATCTTTAGTTGCGGCATGCAGGATCTGGTTCCCTGACCAGGGATCGAACCCGGGCCCCCTGTATTGGGAGCGTGGAGTCTTAGCCACTGGCCCACCAGGGAAGTCCCTCGGGTCATATGACCTCTGTCACCCCTACTCAGCTGTGCCCTTGTAGTGCAGGAGCAGCCTGAGACAATAGCAAACACATGAGCAGGGCTGTGTTTAAATAAAACTTTATTTACAGAAAGAGGTGGCAGGGTGGATTTGGTCTGTGGGCTTTCATTTGCCAATCTCTGCTTCAAAGTAAGCTGTTAACGTCTTCTTCCCCTCTTGGAAGGCGTTCTGCCAGTTCTGATCTTCACCACGTGTACATAGTTGCTAGTCTCCTGGCTCACGACACCTGTAGTTACATGGACTGTGGCTTCTTTCCAGCGGACGCCTGTGGTCTACTGTGTGCGGTTAGCCAGGGCCCTCGTGGATGACTACTGCTGTCTGGTGCCGGGATCCGTTCAGACGCTGAAGCAGATATTCAGTACCAGCCCTCGCTTCTGCTGCCAGTTCATAACCTCAGTCACTGCGCTGTATGACCTGTCGTCAGGTAAACTTTAAGCAGATAGTTATCCTTAAGGAGGCTTCGGCCGATTGCTAGTTGTATTTGCACTGAACACCCAGCCAGCGGATGGCCTTTTTTTTTTTTTCCTCTCTCTCTGAAATGTGTATTTTATTTCAGGCTGAAAGCTAAAGGGATGGGCCACCTGCACCTCTGGAATTTGCTAACAGGGAACTTTCCTTAGTGAGTCCCATTTGCCTGACTCAGAATGGTCCGGGTGGTAGACAGCTA